AAATCGACACGCGCGCTGACCAGAGACCGACTTATTTTTTTTGGCCTTACGCACACAAACTGTTACCTTCCACGGTTCCAAATCAAAATAACAGTTGTCTTATTCTGTACTCAAATTTCCCCCCGGTCATTGCAAGTGTGCACTGTGCAGATATCTTTTGGGCGAAAATTATTGGTTATACATTTTTTTTTAACTGAGAAAGGGGATATTAAGCATTAGTTTGCATTGATTCACAATACACATCATTGAGCTGGCCATTCTTACTTTGCTGTGTACAACAATATTTGATGTATTTCTCGACCATCCTAAAAAGTGGCATATTCTGGATGTTTTGCCTGCTATTTTGACTTTTAAACGTAGGATCATATAATTATTCTTTTTTGTGTGAATTGTTTTGTTTATAACAACAAAATTGAACAAAATAGCCTGTGGAACATTCAGCACACTTTTTGCGTGTCGTGACTTGACACCATACCATTGCTAATGCACTTAAAATGCACTTTTGAAAACCACCTTAAATGGTTGTTTTCTTCCGAACGATACCATTTCATGCGGAATAGTTGATAGGGTATTTGGTACCATGATCCCTATCGTCACTTTTGAGCAAGTTTTGGTATGTTTCCAGGTACATATATATCAATGTGGATCATACGTGCCTCTAAGATAATATGTTACATTTGTGTTAAAACTTTGTGATTGACCTGATTGAAAGGTCAAGGTGTAAAAAGGTAAAAAAAAAATTCGGTTGGGGTAGATATATTTTTTTGTTTAACAAGAAATGTACGAGGTTGTGTTTATACAATAGTTTAAGTTTTAGATAATTTTAATACATTAATTTAAAGGATGGATAATGTTTGTTTATTTTATATTTTGTAAATTTTATGATTCCGCCCCCCCCCCCTAAGATCTCGGCCATCGAGTGACGAAAAAATTTGCAGCTCGGTACTTGCATAGAGCATCTCATAATGAACATAACCAAGAAATTTCATGACTATAGGTCAAGGGGTTTGGGAATTATGGCTAATTAATTATTCATATATACGAATGGTAATTGTGCTCTTTGTACACGACGTTTATGGGAAAATTCAGTTTCGGAATTTTTTGCAGAAGTTAGATTTGGCCACAAAAATATCTCCGGTTTCTAATATGCGCGCGCGTCGCTGTAGACATGCGCGTCGGTAAAATTATTATTTTTTTTTTTTTTGTGTAAGATGATGTCTCAAAACCGCCAAACTCACTGGTTTGACTGGAATCCTGCTGCTGCACAATTTTAACGTGTTTTTAGATGGGGTTACGATCGAGTATAAGCTTTATGTGGCCTATGTGGGCTCCCATATAGTTTGCACTAAATTTAGTCGGGTACCATTTGCAGCAGGGTTGTAATTTTGTTATTGTGCGTCTGGAAGCCAGACTGACGGAGCGATGGTTGTGCATCTGGAACTAACCTGTAAATGATTTTTAATTAGATCAATATACTTCTCAAGCCTTATGGCCTTACTGAGGTCACCTTCAGCTGCACTTTGAAGGATATTTTGAGAGTTTTAAGGGGATCGAAGCGTCATCTGCAGCACCAGCCGACATTTGATGAGAAAAAAAAAGTTAGGTAAAAAAAAAGTCGCGTTGCCGCACCACTTTTGGGGCAAGCTCCATACCAGAAACCGGAGACCTTTTTTGGCCTTTTCAGAGATCGGTCAATGACATGCATCACCGATTTTGCATATCTGGAGACCGTTGTCCCACAACCACAGAAACTAACCTCGAGAGGATTTACACGTAGGATCATATATTCTTTTGGTGTGTGCATCTTTTTTGTTTAGGGCCTATAACAACAAAATTGCGTGGTATGGTAATTCTGCTCTATGTACACGACGTTTGTGGGGATTTTTTTTTTCAAGGCTATCGCATAAAGAAATAGCTGTGGGGGCGGATTCCGCCCCCGGCCCTTTTAGGGTTCAATAACAGCAATTTTCTTTCAATAACCTGGAATTTACGTCTAGTTTTGACCCAATTGACGGGGGAACAACCGTATGCACTGAAAAAAAAATACATATCTCACTGCTGAGGGTAAATCTTTCGTCATCATTTTTGTAGAGGGTCAAAACTATTATGCACAACCTGTTACCTTCCACCGTTCTAAATCAAAATAACAGTTGTCTTATTCTATACTCTAATTTTCCCCGGTCATTGTCAGTGTGTACTTCGCATATATCTTTTGGACGAAAAATATTGATACACATTTTTTTTAACTGAGAAGGGGATGTTGAGTATTAGTTTGCATTGATTGACAATTCACATCATTGAGCTGGCCATTCTTACTTTGCTGTGTACAACAATATTTCATGTATTTCTCGACCATCCTAAAAAAGTGTCACATTCTGGATGTTTTGCCTGCTATTTGACTTTGACACGTAGGATCATATAATTATTCCTTTTTTGTGTGGATTGTTTGTTTATAACAACAAAATTGAACGAAATAGCCTGTGGAACATTCAGCACACTTTTTGCGTGTCGTGACTTGACACCACACCATTGCTAATGCACTAAAAATGCACTTTTGAAAACCACCTTCAATGGTTGTTTTCTTCCGAACGATACCATTTCATGCGGAATAGTTGGTAGAGTATTTGGTATTATAACACCTCGCCCACAGTTCTGTGTCTTGATTAGCCGAGAGCGAGTCACATGATACTTTCTATTTTTGCTATCTTTCTGTGCACGGCCAAAAGTACTATGCCCGTAGCAACCAAAGTACTATACCATTAGCAACCAAAGTACTATTTCCACGGCGCGGCATTTGTGTGCAAATGCATGCTGGTGTGCGTGTTGCGTTGTGTGCGCGTTTGTGTTAAAACTTTGTGATAGAGACCTGATTGAAAGGTCAAAAGTATAAAAAGGTATTAAAAAAAACAAACATTCGGTTTGGGTAGATTTATTTTTTGTTTAACAAGAAATGTACGAGGTTTTGTTTATACAATAGTTTAAGTTTTAGATTGATATTAATACATTCATTTAAAGGTGGATAATGTTTGTATATTATGTTACCTTATATTTAGTTTTCTATGTAACCTGTGTAAATAAAAAAAGGTGACTAAATATATATTAACGATCACAAGTAGTCGGATTTAACATGAGATTCATCAGTATAGCCATAGCGCACATAGCTATAGTTTGACCATTACTTCGATGGACAATACAGAAAAGTTGACCCTTGGTGGCGTGCTTCCGGACCCCTCGAACAGGAAAATTAGGGTGTAAAAGTCAGAGTTTTTAAAATTATTTTTGGGTACATTGATGTAGAAAAATATCCCCCTCGGAAAAGGTCTTTGTAAAATTGTGACTAGCATCCCAATTTATAGAAACTGAAAAATCGCATGACGTGAAAGAGAAAAATAGTGCTGAAAATTAACCTCTAACTTCCTGTCACAAGACGTGTGAAAATTATTCCTTTTATTTTCCGAGTTAATTTATTAATAGACTAAATTTGTACTCCCGTAAAGTGTTATGTAACGTCTGAGGTTGATGCTAGGTGAATTATACAAATCGTAATTCCTTTTCCCTTTGTTGCATACCTATTCCGGGCTTGCACCCATGTGGGGCTCAACGGTGGCGCAAGCTCCAGTAAGTTTGTATTCAGAACTGGGTTAATCGGGTAACTGGCATTCCGGGGAGGGGTATAAAACCTCGCCCACGTGTTTTTGGATTGAGTTTTGCGGGACGGGAGCCGGAGTGAGTGTGTCTCGCCGGGTTGGGTGTTCGCTAAGCAGAGAGGTGTGGACCTTCAGCGCTGAAGCTGTCGAGTTGGGAGCCGCCGAAGGCTGCGTGTCGGGCGGACTTCTTGTACCCTCTTTGAGATGGGAGTTTTTAAAAATCCCGCTTGTGGGCCATTGAGGCCTATTGTGTTAGTACCGCATCGCAATCTCCCGGGAACGCCAGACCCACGGATAGGCCCGTACGAAGTCGAAGGCCGTGTGAGTAATTATTATTATTAGTTATGTATAATCATTTATTGTGTAGTGTGTATTGTATACTATAGTTTTACAGTTGGAAGAATGTTTTTCATGAGTTTATATTTATCAAGTTTTGTTTTATAAGTTTTGGTTTCTCTTTGGAAGATGACATGATTTGCTTGGAGAATTGACTTTTGTTGAGAAAGATTCATTGTATTTTAATGTCTTTCTGTATTTTCACATTTAAGATGAATCCCGTTTCATGGCGGCATTTGAAGTGAAAACCGCGTTCATTGTGTGAAGTTGTAATATTTCAACAACTTATAACCTGTGTATTTTCTTAATGTAAAACGTTGGTACAACTAGCATGTTTATCAGAATGCCCTAATGGATATTACAGGGCTTCCCGTAATCCTGCCCTACGATGGCTAGCGGGGATGCCACTGTCCTTTACTTTCACTGAAGTTTGACGTGACGTGAACCTCCACCTACTCTCCGACGGTCGGTGCGTAGGGGGCCTACCTCTGTAGCAGACCGGGTTCTCAAGCTCTCATGTTCCTGGGGGAATCGTCCCACGGCGACGCTCAAGCCGGACCCAAATGCTTATGTTGTAATTAATAGAGCTGTGTTATACTTATATTGTAATTACTAGAGCTGTGTCAGATTTACGTTGTTTATAATGGGGCAATGTAACGCGAACACTAAAACATTCTGGGGACACAAACTGTGAACATAATTTTGGCCGGTAATCAAACGGATGTATAAAATTAATTTTGGTTTATTTCTTTCTCGTAATAAATAGTTTAATTTTGTGATTGATAAGTCCTGTGTTGAGTCCTCTGTTCTTTTGAGTTATTTCTTGGTTTTTGGTCTGAGTAGAGCGGCGCAAGGGTCCGCTCTGCGACACTTCCGAAAATCTAAAATACATGTGAACTAGTGGAACTCGGAGCACTCGTACAAAGATGAACATTTATGAAACTTTAAGGACCAATTCTCATTTACAAACAAATCTTAAATGACTCTTGATAGGAACTGTATTCAAGCCAACCCGACTTAATCTAGAATACATCGGATGTAGGTAGGTAAATCTTGGCGTCGTTATAATTTTCGTTCTTACGCAAGTACGCGATGTGAAAACGAACGTGTATCCTAAGATAAAATTCCAACATGAGTGTTTCTTGGGGTGATTACGGTTAGAAATCAATCTGTCAAAAATTATGGCAAGGGAAAAGGGCAACCCAGTGTAAATTGCCCATAGAAGGGTCACGGAGGGGTCCGGAAGCTCAAGGACAAATTGGCATACTTTCCGGCTCTTTAATATACCCGTGTCAAATTATTTCAATTTTTTTATGTCTCGTTTTTATACCAGAGTTTTTTTTTTACGTTTCGTGTCTGTTTCCTTTATCGTTCACTCGACCCCGAATTCAAGCAGTTTATGACACTTCGATCTAGATACTTACGCAACAGTTTTTAAACGCGATGTCTTCACGGAATTCGCACCTGATTGGTAGCACAGTCCAATTATCTCTTTTATTCGACGGTACCAGTAGGAAGACGCCCCTCGAAATAAATGGTTATGGTAATTTACTTTTTCTTTCCATGGTAATTCGTTTGTAGTATTCTATATGTTCTCGGAAGTCCAGGTGAAAGCACATTTTTTGAACGTGGTATAAATTTGAAGCGTAAGGTAGAGTGTGGGAAAGAACCATTTGTGCGTTTGGGAGAGAGAGGTGTCCAAGAGTTATTGTGTGAAGTTTTGTTGGGTCGTCGCCACCCGTAACCAGCAGGCGAGTGGAAGCAGCCACCGCAGGTACCGGGCCGGCCAACCTAAACTGTTGAGGCCGAGAGCCACGTTTAGTCGGAAGTACATGTTAAAGTACTTGCTTTACACTCTCTTCATCTGTATGACCAGACGTCACACGGCAGTAGCCTGACCCCAAGAGTACACTCCCCGAGAATTACCGTAAGTTCCTTTTTATTATCAAAAACTGATTTTTGAATCGTGTTTGGTTATAATTTGAATCCACTTATTTAGACACAATTTGAGATCAATTTGTATTTTCATGTGTGATTCCAAAAGAACAGAGATTTGTAGTATTTTGGGTTATTTTACATTTCATAGATAACCATTTTCCCTGGTGGGCACAACCAACCCTATTCCGATCCCGTGAGACCAATCTGTAAATGGCAGGGACCCCACTGAAGCCAGGCGGTGACTGATCAACACACTGATCGAGGCAGAGACGACAATCCAGTCAACGCTAGTGTCACCAACCTGAGCCGAATTCTGTATCTGGGGAAGGTTGCAAGTATCTTAAACATAACCTAGAACCTGAAATCTAAAACCCACAAATTGGCTTTGATTTAAATTGTAATTTGTAAAACTTAAAGACCGGTTGCTTTGTTTTCTTTACTTTGTTTCTTTTAATGTAACAACTAAGTTGCTTTATTTGAAGATTTGGATTGATATTTCTGTATTCGTTTCTTGGCTGGATCAGCAAATTTTCCGTTAATATTTTGTTAAGACTCAGTTGAGAAATTGCTGAATTATTTTGTTGAATTGAGATTTTCATATTTTTTGTGTTGTTGCAAAGTTGCTAATTTGTATGCCTTGCTATACCTTCAAAGTTAACCCGTGCTAATTCAACCTGCGATTTAATTTGCTTGATTTGAGATGTTTCTTTTGATTTGCCTAAGTTAAATCTGTTACATTTTGTCATCTTCAGAGAAACCCTGAATTCTTTGGATCGTTCTTAAGTTGAGTTCTTGAATTGTGGAAGATCCTTTGATTAAATTTGATTATTTTGTAGATATTCTTGTAAATATTCCTCTTCCTTTTTTTCATTTGATTTTTCTTTAAAATAAAATTGTACTTTTGCTCTTGAAGTTAAAATCAAATCCGTTTCTGTTTGCCTTATTTACTGAGTTGAAGACAGAACTATCCCATTTATCTAAGGTCTTGAGAAAATACTTGACAACCCGAAAGTTTGCTATTTTCCCCCAAACGGAAAGAGGATGGATCCATAACTCGTATTTGATTTAAAAAAAAATGAAAGAAACCAAAAAAACTGAGGTCGATATCAGGCCTGAACGTGGGCAGCTTTTATATGCGCATTCCCTGGCTATAGAACGATAATTGAGTTCCAGCTCCTCCCAACAATCCCTCTCCCCGATTTCCTCCCGAAATTGCTTTGATCGGCCGATGGCCTATTGGACCTTCGACTATTTGTGAGCATTTGTTGCAGATTCGCCCTTGGTGACCCCTTTGGAATGTTTTTGCCTCCCTTCTCCTAGGTCCCGCCCACTGGAAAACCACTATCGCGGCATAGCGCATATGCGTGACGCGGTGTCGAGTCCATTTTGTAAGTAGGATTGCAGACCGGTAAATAAACTGCCATAGACCCCAATGATAAATGCCCCAATTCGGAAATTCATGAAAAATACTCACAACTCTCTGAGGTGTTCGAAACACACATCAAAGTTAAGGCTTATTTCATCATATTTTACTTCTGTTCAATTTTGTTGGGGTAATCTTATGTCTTTTGGGAGAAATTTCCATCCAAAGATGATCACCCCTTAAAATAGTTCTGAAGTCCGTCGCCATTTTGATGCATACGCTCCATTGCAAAATAGAACCATTTTAGTGCCCGATTTCACCCAAATGTCACAGAAACACAAGCTCACAGTCCTGTGCACGGCTTCCACCCTTCATTTTTTTTTTGGACAAAACTTCCAGGTCATGGCCCACAAAATGCTGTAGTACTGAAGAATTTTAGGGCATGCAAATCGTGATTAGGCCGGCGTAGGCAATTTTGGGCCTATTTACAGGTCTGCGCCCTTTAAATAACATGATGCTGTCTGTTTCTACCCAGACCACTTTTAAGGCAAGAATTAAGGAGGATCCATTAATCATATTTCATCTGAAAATTGAATGAAAATGCAGATTGTTTTAAACAGCTTAGGCCTATGCATTGTCTGCCATGTGCATTGAAGTTTGTTGATTTCCCCTTTCCCACTGATGAAACTGTAGTATAAAAAAATCCCTCTTAGGCCCCCCCCCCCCCCCAAAAAAAAAAGTCTCCGGTTTAGAGTGTGCGCGCTTGTCGCCGAAGCCATGCGCGTCGGCAAATAAAAAAAAAAATCTTTTTTGGTAAAATGGTGTCTCTTAACCGCCTAACTCACTGGTTTGATTGGAATCCTGCTGCTGCACAATTTTAACGTGTTTTTAGATGGGGTTACGATCGAGTATAAGCTTTATGTGGCCTCTCTGTGCTCCCATATATTTTGCAGTCAATTTAGTCCGGCACCGTTTGCAGACGGATGTTGTAATTTTGTAATTCTCTGGCAGCCAGACTGAGGGAGCAATGCTCGTGTATCTGGAACATGTAAGGTTTTAAGGGGATCGAAGCGTCATCTGCAACCCCATAGTCAGCCGACATTTGAAGAAAAAAAAAAGTAGGGAAAAAAACCCGCGTCGCCGCACCACTCTAGGGGCAAGTTCCATACCAGAAACCGGAGACTTTTATGGCCTTGCATTTAAACTATGTTTCTTGGTTGACAATTGAGGTTGGAAATTAACAGTTTAGGGTTGAAAATTGCCACCAAGGGAATGGTGCCGGTTGTCGTCGTCGTCGTCGTCGTCGTCGTCGTCGTCGTCGTCGTCGTCGTCGTCGTCGTCGTCGTCGTCGTCGTCGTCGTGTCGTCGTCGTCGTCGTCGTCGTGTCGTTGTTGTGGGCTGAAATTTCACACTATCTTCTTCGCGGATTTATCTCTGGCTCTTTAAGAACTGTCCCAACGTGGAAATGCATACATACATGCACGGTTCACAGTCAAATGCAGCATTAGGCAGGTAAAGCATGTGTGATACTAAAAAGAATCATAAAATGTTTACGGAACACGAAACAGAGGCCTCGTGCAGGAGTTTCAATCAAAGCAAGAAAATTATGTGCCTCATATAAATCGAACCTGGAATATGTTCGTAAAGTTGTCTAATACATGCCAAGAAAGAAAGATAGAGATTATTGCAGTTCCGATGATAGATTCATTGATGTCCTCTAAAAGACAAAGGTTATCACCGTTTCAGGAGGGTGTGTGCCTACGTTGGTGGGGCGATGACTCTTATGTTTTGCATCTCTGCGAATCGTCGAAGGGTTACTCAGTGATTTCTCATGTCCAGTCTGTCTGCCATAAATGGGCGCACATTTTAGTGCGCTAAAACTAGCCCTTTAACCGGCATAATAGACTGCTGCAAAAAGGATTCTATATTTAAATTTTTACAGCACATCTGCTTGTCTTTAATTCGTAAAGTGTTAAAAAATCCATCACCAGATGTAAGCATTATCGATGTGACTCATTCATGTGCAAATATCCCGCAGCTCCTATCCAGACGCCGCTATTGTTCGCTGCACTCCGAGAAATTCCAGATCGAAATTCCAGAGGGACTGTTTATTTCCCTTTAACTACGTTATATTTTTGTCTACCATATTTTTTCAAACTGTTGATTAGAAAGCAATAAAAAAAAAAAATCCACAATGCCATGAAAATTTGCACATTCCTTTATACTTAATATAGGCACCACGAATACGGAAGGACGGTGTATCTCTCTTACATACTGTGGTGTATGCGCAATTTTGGTCGGACCATGTTGGCCACATAATGGTTTAGAATTTAACAAAATTAGGATTTTGAACACATTTTGGAAGGACAAAGGTGACACATGTTAATATTTCAGCTTATAAAGGACCAATGATTTAATTAGGGACACTTACATGTATCTCATTTTGGTATGGTGAAATAATTTGCTGAGGAAAGTAACTCATTGCATTTTTTTTAACTTGAAAGTTCATGGGGTCCAAAACTAAGGGGGAGGAGTGTAATGTGTTAACGTATTACGAATTGAGATTTTCATTTTTTTGTGTTGTTGCAAAGTTGCTAATTTGTATGCCTTGCTATACCTTCAAAGTTAACCCGTGCTAATTCAACCTGCGATTTAATTTGCTTGATTTGAGATGTTTCTTTTGATTTGCCTAAGTTAAATCTGTTACATTTTGTCATCTTCAGAGAAACCCTGAATTCTTTGGATCGTTCTTAAGTTGAGTTCTTGAATTGTGGAAGATCCTTTGATTAAATTTGATTATTTTGTAGATATTCTTGTAAATATTCCTCTTCCTTTTTTTCATTTGATTTTTCTTTAAAATAAAATTGTACTTTTGCTCTTGAAGTTAAAATCAAATCCGTTTCTGTTTGCCTTATTTACTGAGTTGAAGACAGAACTATCCCATTTATCTAAGGTCTTGAGAAAATACTTGACAACCCGAAAGTTTGCTATTTTCCCCCAAACGGAAAGAGGATGGATCCATAACTCGTATTTGATTTAAAAAAAAATGAAAGAAACCAAAAAAACTGAGGTCGATATCAGGCCTGAACGTGGGCAGCTTTTATATGCGCATTCCCTGGCTATAGAACGATAATTGAGTTCCAGCTCCTCCCAACAATCCCTCTCCCCGATTTCCTCCCGAAATTGCTTTGATCGGCCGATGGCCTATTGGACCTTCGACTATTTGTGAGCATTTGTTGCAGATTCGCCCTTGGTGACCCCTTTGGAATGTTTTTGCCTCCCTTCTCCTAGGTCCCGCCCACTGGAAAACCACTATCGCGGCATAGCGCATATGCGTGACGCGGTGTCGAGTCCATTTTGTAAGTAGGATTGCAGACCGGTAAATAAACTGCCATAGACCCCAATGATAAATGCCCCAATTCGGAAATTCATGAAAAATACTCAACTCTCTGAGGTGTTCGAAACACACATCAAAGTTAAGGCTTATTTCATCATATTTTACTTCTGTTCAATTTTGTTGGGGTAATCTTATGTCTTTTGGGAGAAATTTCCATCCAAAGATGATCACCCCTTAAAATAGTTCTGAAGTCCGTCGCCATTTTGATGCATACGCTCCATTGCAAAATAGAACCATTTTAGTGCCCGATTTCACCCAAATGTCACAGAAACACAAGCTCACAGTCCTGTGCACGGCTCCCACCCTTCATTTTTTTTTTGGACAAAACTTCCAGGTCATGGCCCACAAAATGCTGTAGTACTGAAGAATTTTAGGGCATGCAAATCGTGATTAGGCCGGCGTAGGCAATTTTGGGCCTATTTACAGGTCTGCGCCCTTTAAATAACATGATGCTGTCTGTTTCTACCCAGACCACTTTTAAGGCAAGAATTAAGGAGGATCCATTAATCATATTTCATCTGAAAATTGAATGAAAATGCAGATTGTTTTAAACAGCTTAGGCCTATGCATTGTCTGCCATGTGCATTGAAGTTTGTTGATTTCCCCTTTCCCACTGATGAAACTGTAGTATAAAAAAATCCCTCTTAGGCCCCCCCCCCCAAAAAAGTCTCCGGTTTAGAGTGTGCGCGCTTGTCGCCGAAGCCATGCGCGTCGGCAAATAAAAAAAAAAATCTTTTTTGGTAAAATGGTGTCTCTTAACCGCCTAACTCACTGGTTTGATTGGAATCCTGCTGCTGCACAATTTTAACGTGTTTTTAGATGGGGTTACGATCGAGTATAAGCTTTATGTGGCCTCTCTGTGCTCCCATATATTTTGCAGTCAATTTAGTCCGGCACCGTTTGCAGACGGATGTTGTAATTTTGTAATTCTCTGGCAGCCAGACTGAGGGAGCAATGCTCGTGTATCTGGAACATGTAAGGTTTTAAGGGGATCGAAGCGTCATCTGCAACCTCATAGTCAGCCGACATTTGAAGAAAAAAAAAAGTAGGGAAAAAAACCCGCGTCGCCGCACCACTCTAGGGGCAAGTTCCATACCAGAAACCGGAGACTTTTATGGCCTTGCATTTAAACTATGTTTCTTGGTTGACAATTGAGGTTGGAAA